CTTACCCAAAGTTCCACTTCAGGCCAGTACAACAGAAAGAGCTCAGACCATCCACTCTAGCCCAATTGGTGCCCACTGTGAGATGGGGTGTTCTGCAAGACCACTGGAATCCTACTCATGGTATTTTACTTAACTTTTTCTAATCTGATCCAGACTGTATCCATTCTATGGATTATCATGGAAAAAGCCAGCACCAGTGTTGTACTTATTCCTTCTTTGTTGGCTTTTAAAAATAGGGTTTCACAGTTACCTATTGCACTGTCACCAGAAAATGACGTTTCTGGACTGAAAGACCAATGGGGATCTGGGCACATTTTCTGGGTCTCCCCTATGCAAATCCCTTCCCCTTGTATGGAGCAGGGGGGAGACCCTTATCACTTACCAGCTCTCAGCCACTGAGGTGTTGAACTATGGAGAATTCTCACCAATTGGGACCTGAAAGTGGGTGCTAAAACACAGAGTTCCTTTACACTGAGAAGTGGGACAGGGGTTTTTCTGGAGTACAGACCACTCCAACTTGTCTATATACAACATCTCTCCTTTACCTCCTCTTACAAAAATATAACCCCACCAATTATGCTTGCAGAGTTATTGATATTTCTTAATATCTAACCGTGATGTATCACTCGTTAACCCTACTCCCACAGCTGGCAATAAGTTTGTAGAGCCTCATGGTTGACTGGTAGTTTCATAAGCATTGTTATTTTGTGACCACTGCAATGCCCTTCTTCTGTGGCTGGCATGGGCCCTTATTGTATGACAGTTGAGGAGCTGTGCACGGATACTTCTTTCATGGCTGGTATTGAACTATAGAGACTGATGGTCAAGGAGGTGAGCATACTTGGTACAGTCTGAATGTGCTTCAACCTTACTATACTGATTGGCCTTGTGTACAAGATGTCAGATGGTCATCTACCTATTATACCAACCCTGCAACACCTTTCAGGCTTCTTGCTAATTTGTGCATAGAGGTGAGTCATTGTATCTGAAGTTTAAATTTTCCTCACCTGAAAATGTATTTCCAGAAGATACATCCATGCATGTTCCCACCCTTCCTCCCCACTTTCCTGGTGAACTTTTTGTGTTTGCATTGTCAAAAAATGGAGATTTTCATGTGTAACTGTAGAGGGAGCATTTTTGCAATGAGATGTGTGATGTTCCTACTGGTGGAGGGTTTTGCTGCATGATATGTCATCACTCTATAGCTCAAATTTGCATGTTTTCATGTGAATTTTAGGTGGGGTTTCACAAGGCTTGTGGCATGCAAATCTGTAAGACAGAATAGCTAGACTTCAAGAGGAAATGGCTAATCTGTGCATGGAGATGAGTATCTATTGAAAATACATTTTCAGGTAAGGAAAATATTAACTTTACCAACTAGTTTTTATACCTTTCATTACTGGCAAGATTTCAACATTATATCATATTGAATTACTTTAGGCTTTTGCCTATTGTAACTGATTACTTCCGTAATTTTGTTTCTGTTGTAAATGCAATATCTTTACTTAGTTTAACAAATCTTCTAATCATTGTTGTAAACTGTATTTTTAATGTTCTAATTGTTTGTTAGATGGAGCTGCTGGCTGTATTAATGATGTAATGATTAAATGTATAAAATATTTAGAAATGAGGATACAGATATAAATTTGAGTAATATGATATGCAGCGATATCATAAGTTTTCTAACTGCTTTAGTGAAATTTAAAAAAATTTTCAGTTATTTAGTTTCCATGTTGTAATAATGACAACACATGGTCTAGAAAGTCGTTAAGATTACCTTGTTCTAGTTTCTTCATTTCTTTGTTCTCAGTAGTAGGTGATATCTCCTCTACCTAAGAGGATTTTGCAGTAATATATAGCATCTGAGTTAAAAGGATTGACACTGTAATATCCTTTGCTGGCCAGTTATTACATTAACCAAATTTAACAGCTGACCAATGCTGTGAAGGAACAAAGGCCTCAAGGTGACAATGTTGACTGGGTGAGGAAAGCAATATTTTCCTGTAGAATTCAGGCATGCTTTCTTCAGCCAGTTTATATAAGGAGATTGTCAAGAGAAGACTAATTTTAAAAACATGTTTCAGTTCTGTGGAGTTTAATCCTGAGGGAGAGAAAGCTGTGGAGATAAACACAGCCTAGTAGAAAGGACTCATTTTGTCTGCATAGGTATGCACACTGTGTTTTCTGTTTATTCGCTAAAATAAAGATTTAGTTCATTTATTTGCATTTGTCCAGACTCTTTATTTCACACTTAGAGGTACTTAATCAAGTTATCTATTAAAGAACATTCCCTTTATTTCTTGATTGAACCTGCTGTTATCTGCAGGTTTGCCTCTAATACTTGTCAAGAAACCTGTTTTACTTGAAAATACTACAGTATTCAGTTAGTTCAGATAGAAAGTAGTGAATGGGCATTCAATTAGAGTTGTTGTATTTGTTCTGTTATTTATTTATGTGGTATGTTATGTGTTTCATTATCTAACAAAGCTAGCTATTAAGTTAGGGTGAAAGCCTTGCAGTTTATATTGAAACATTGTATTTGAAGCTAGGCCATGGGTAATTAAAATATTTGGGACTTTGGCTCATAGGCACAGAAATTTCTGACTTTTCAATACGATATTGATCATGTTTTTCTATTCTGATTTATCAAGACATCAACTGGGGATTCGGCTCACTGTCAAATAGAATCAAGGCACAGGCCCCATTTGCCAGTGTCTTGCAATGCCTCAGGGCTAGGCATATATTTAACATAATATAACATAATATTTTGGGACAATATGGACCTATTGGTCTATCTCAGCTGTTCCATCCTCAAAACTAAATTTAAATGATTATAAAATAAGATAAAAATTTTTAAACCTAGCCCTTTTCATCCATATACTTAAGCTTTTTCTTAAGCTCACTTAAATTTACTGCCTCTAAAACATCTGAAGGCAACCCATTCCAAAGGCCAACCACTCTGTTAGAAAAATAAAACTGTCTTAGCTGAAGATGACCCCTACCTTGCCAAAATGTATATATGTGTCTCCTAGTCCTACTATTTTCATTGTTAAATATAAAAACAGATGACACATCAACACTATCAATTCCCTTTACAATTTTAAACACCTCAATCACATCCCCCCCTAACTCTTCTTTTTTCAAGAGAAAACAATTCGAGAGATTTCAGCCTCTTATCATATGAAAACCCCTCCATCCCAGG